ACTCACTTGTGCCGCAGTAACAGAGTTGGCCAAGGCCCCGGACAGGAGCCAGTTATTTTCTTATGAGACTGCAGAAGTAGAACGTGCAGCATAGAGAAACAACTTTAGAATGTGGGATTTTTTGGCACATTTCAGTACCGATGAATCAACGGACAAACTTCCTCCTCAATTTGCACAACACTGAAACCCATTGCCGCACTTTACCAACTATTGAACTGATTTGTTGTTCCCAGACAAAGCACTGATCCACAATCAACCGCAGGTATTTTACCGCTGTTTCAATTTTCCAATAATTTTCTGTTGAACGCAGCAGTTGTTACAACAAATCCGTACAGGTTCTGCTCACACGCTTCTTGCATGATGGAAACTACAGTCCACAGTTTTCTTTGGATTAGGTATTACATCACTCTTACTCATTTAGACCTTCCCCACCTCTTGAATGGAGACGAAGAAATGCAGTAATTCACACCTGGACAGTACTGAAGCCAAGAGATCAATAATTTAGGCATACTTCACGCACATGGTGGTAGTATCGGATAGGTAATACTTCGAGGTGCATAAAAGGAACGATGTAGATGACAACGAGGATCCTTGTGCGACTCTTCGCGCGGTCAGAAGAGTTATAGGTTTCTTCTTGCCGTTGTGAGCAGCCTGTCAGAATCTCGAGTAATATACGGCCAGTAGATTGACAATGCGAGACTTCACACTGATGCTGGCCTACAATTTCGGCATCTGAATTCTTGCCAGCGTGTAACAGGCTGAGCTGCAACATGCCATTCATCAAGAGTGCTGGCAATGGTGTGCAACTACAGTAAACGCATATAGAGTTCTGCTTCCCTGCACAGATACGAATTACCACGGATCGACATGTTCTAACAACTTTGAATAATACGATGGCGGCACGATTCTTTCCTAGCATTTATACGCAACTAGAGTCACTGTAAAGAGTCTACAGTCAGCAGCTGTATAGAGTCTAGGAAATTCTGGGATATGAGTCATTCGATATCGCCGCACTAATCATTGAATTTCTCAAGGATAGAGCCGTCATCGCAGCAGAACACGGGGAAGGAGGCACGCTGCTACATACGTTACTGTCCAGATAGGTAATCCGTCCATATCGGCAGAGTCTTTCACTAAGTTGCTTTTCATCTTAGAGTGATAACGTGCAGTTTTAAATGCATCATTCTATAATCCTCAGCGTATCAAAGCCGTGTCGCAATCTTAAACACGCAGGCAGTAATGCAGAGGCATCAGTATAGGGATAGGATCAATAATAACCCAGAAAAACCGAGGCATTACTGTTTGGACTAAATCGCAAATCCGTTTCAGTCTATATCGGTACGGGTAGTCAGATTACCACCCTGGAAGGTAAAATGTACATAAAGAAGCAATGACAGATTCGTTCGATTGAAGTAAAATAAGAGTACCTTCTCGCACAGCTCGTTTTAATTGTTTGTGATTAGGCAGTTTCTAGAGTGGAAGTAGAAAAAGTAGAAAAATCCTTTTTACCGCTTAGAAGCGTCGTTAGACCAACATCTGCGGCTACCACGATCTGACTTTGATAATGCCAGGAATTTCTGGCAAATTGAGAGCGAAGCTTGAAGCTTTGACTAACTGTTCAGTTGTGTTCTCATCATCAAAGTTTTAAACTCGAACTAACATGGCGACCCGTGATCTATGATAGAAAATGATAGAGGTAAACGTGCAGGTGAATGACGCAACACAAACACCCATCAACCGTCGTTTGACAGCACAGGGTGGCTTGCTCAGTATCAGAAATTACAATTTCATGATTCAAAGACTGTTAAAGACATCGCTGACAACAGATGAAGAATAAATTATATAGCAAGACAATGAATCACTGTAAAAAACTTTTCTGAAGCACATGGTGATTTTGTGCTGTGGGCAACAGGAATCTTACCACCTGAACGAGTGTTGGAGCCAAAATAAAACAAGACTTTTAAAACCGACTGACGTTTCCAGCCCTTGAATCATTTTAACCTCAAAACACAAAAGTGAACAAATTATTCTAACGCACAAATATACTAATAAAACGTAATTATTATTTAGTAGTAAAATTATTCTCACTACGGTCGCTGGTTGCGAGCATCTGACAGTACATGAGGAGAAGCACCTCGATGTCCTCCTCTTCGCAACAACCGAGAGCCTCCGATCGGCCGTGGGACATTCTACAGCAAAAAATATATACAGCAATGGACAAGGCGTATTAAAGTTTAAGTCGGAAACGCAAC